TTTTAATACGCCATTACTCCCAAAGACACGCCATACCCACTGTGGTGGCTTGAATAGGTACTGCCCCATGGACTCATGTGTTTGAATATTTGGCCCATGGGAAATGGCACTATTAGGAAGTGTGGCCTTTGTGGAGAAAGTGAGTCACTGTAGGGTTGGGCTTTGAGGTCTCATATGCTCAAGCAACACCCAGTGTGGCACACGGTCCACTTCTGTGGCCTGAGAATCAAAATGTGGAACTCTCAGCTCCTTCTCCAGCATTCTCTCTGCCTGGACAGTTCCATGCTCGCCACCATGATAATAATGGATGAAACCTCTGAACCTATAAGCCAGCCCCAATTAAATGTTTTATAAGAGTTGCCTTGGTCATGGTGTCCTTTTACAGCAATGGCAGCTCTAACTAAGACACCCCCTTCCTCAGAAATCAACTCCCATTCCCTCAAACTGGTGATGCCCACCCCGCCCTCCACTCCAGCGTCAAGATATCGCTAATCTGTCTCTAAAGAGCTGTTTGTTCTTGACGTTTCCTATCCATGAGCTCATATAGTCCGTGCCGTCTGTGTGTGGCCTTTTACCTAGGATGTCTTCAAGAGTCATCCCCATTGTAACATGAGTCCTTTCATTCGCTTGCTGTGAGGGAGGGATGGGGAGGCCATGTGCAGTCTCAGGAGCGGGGCCTGGGGGCTCCAGTTTCTCTCTAGCCAATCAGTGTGAGGCTTTTAGTGCTCTGAAGCGTGCTGCGTTCACAGTAGAAAATGTCCACATCCCTTCTTCTACTTACTGGCCACATGTGTGTCTCAGGTGAAATGTTTATTCAGATACTTTCTAAAGATGGGACATTTGTCTTGCTATTAGTGGGTTGTGAGGAGTTTTAGAATATTTAAAATGTGTCCCTTATCAGACACACTTTTCAGACATTTTTCTCTGTTCTGTGTGTCGTCTGCTCATGTCCTTGGTGCTGTCCAGCGATGCACAGAAGACTGACTCTGACTTTGATCGCTTTTGATCCTCCTTCTCTCTCATCGATTCTGTTTGTGTGCCATCTCACAAGGCCTGGCTTGAGACAAGGTCACCAAGATTCACCTCACAGTATCTTTTAAGAGTTGTATAACTTTGGCTTCTACATTTAGATCTGTACCTTATCTTGAGTCTTTCTTGTCTTTGGTATGAATAAAGGGCTCTAAGACCCCTGAATCTGTGGTCATTTGTGTTTGATAGCAATGCATAGTACAGATTTAGTTTTGCTTCTAAGTTTAAGCCTGATTCCAGAGTCTGTCTTCTTCAACATGTTTTCTGCCTTCTATTAAGTTGTTTCTTTTGTGTTGCCGGGCATTAAAGTTACTGTTGTTTCCAGCAGCAGACCCCAAGTCACTATTTGCATCTAATGTTAAAGACTTACTCCCATGTAACTTAGAAGCTGCTTGAAAAGGTATTTCTCCCAAGACAGAAAAATCCATGTTGCTTTGAGTTGTTTAGGAGTGAACAACTTAATTTATGTGGTAATTATTAAACAATATTAGGAAAAAAAAACCCTAACTCATTGCATTGGTCTTTGTCATAGCTCTGGTATTTTAATTATTCTCAGAGCCAATAATGCTACAAATCCGCAGAGGCAAATTTCCCCTAAAACATGTTCATCTGTATATTCATGCCTAGTTCTGATGTGGATGATGAGCCCAGCCTGGTAAAAGGTTTTAACTTGTGGTGATTCTAAAATCTGTACGAATTGGAGATTGACTCAAATGTCCCTGTTTACCCTTGTTCTAAGCTGTACCTAGATGTGAAAAGTGCATAGATATGGAGGAGGTCAAACCCAGGCCAGAGCCTTAAGTGTGTGGCATAAGTACTCTACTACTGAGCTTCATCCTCAGCCCCTGTCCCCTCTCTCAGTTTTTCAAGACAGGGTTTCTCTGTATAGCCTTGGGTGTCCTGGGCTCACTTTATAGACCAGGCTGTCCTTGAACTCACAGAGATCTGCCTGCCTCTGCCTCTCTGAGTGTGGGGCTTATAGGCATGCATCACCGTGCCTAGCTACACACACCTCTCTTAATTTTCTCTATGAGAAAATTGTGTCAGATGCCAGAACAACTGAGCTTGACTCAGTTGCTTTACCATATAGGCTAATTGACATTGTTAATCCCCCCCCTCATCCCAAGAGCACCTCAACTTATCACTTGTCACCGTCCCTCCCCGGGTCCAGATCATATCAACTCTGGCTGAGCTGTAATCTCCCTGAAGTTTAACATCACTTCTTCATCTCTTTCTTCTTTGCAGCCCTGAAGCCCCCCCCTCCCCCCCCAAAAAAAATGCACACGTATTGTTGGGGAACTTTATTTGACCATATTTACATGATTTGGCAGCTCAAGTTAGGGAGTATAGTGGAATGGTAGTCTGTATGCGAGTTCACCTTTCTCCAAGGGCACACAGCTGTGCAAGTGTGGTTCTGACTGGGTTGGCATCCCTGGGGAAGAGCACTTCTCTCAACACTGGGCACAAGGTTGTGAATCTAAGGACAGTTTGACCTATGTTTTTAGCTAAGTATTTACAGAGAGAAATAAAACAGTCTCATGTTTTATTTAGTCAAAATGCTAGGCTTAAAATGGCCATAGCTTCAATGTGAGGTTCAAACACGCTGTTGATGTGATTAAGTATTTCATGGTAAACAACCTCTAACACTGTTGAAATCTCTGAAATGGCACTGTGCTCTTGAATGCTAATGAGCTGGCTGGTATCCAGGGCACTAGGCAGGGCCCAGAGAAGACCAAGGATTTGAAGGTTTGTGCCACCAGTCATACCCCTCAACTCCTAGGGAAGGTCAAGGGGCTGAAGGTTCTATTCTTTGTCAGTGCCAATGGCTCAATCACAGTGAAGTTTCAATAAGGATAGTGGGCAGGTTTCCAAGAGCTTCAGGTAGCATAGCCTGTGGAGGTTTCTGGAAGATGATGTACCTGGAGAGAACATAGATGATCGGTGCCCTTCCTACATGCCTTGCCCTGTCCATCCCTACTTCTGTATCAGTGGTAATAAACCAATGTACGTCCGTGTTTCCAATGAAGTCTGGGTGAGCCACTCTCACAAATTAATTATACTTAAAGATGGTTTTTGTGGGCCTCCAGGCATGTAGCCATTGTCAAAAGCACAAGTTAACCTGAAGCTTGAGGTTGATATCTGACCCGGGAGGAGAACAGTAGATTTGAGGTTGAGTCCACAGTGAGTTGGATGAGAGGTTGCCCAGCAGGTGTCCAGTGCAGCAAAGCTGCCAGCTCGCTAACGGAGGGAAATTCCTTTTTTTTTTTTTTAAATTTTTTTCTTCACAATTTATTTATTATATATCCTGATTGAGTTCCCTTCCCTCAGCTCCCCCAACTCCCACCCTCCCTTCCGATTCCCCTGGTCCACTGAAAGGGGGAGTTCTCCATTATTGCCATCTGCCCATAGCTTGTCAAGTCTCATCAGGACTGTCTGACTCCTCTTCCTCCGTGGCCTGACAAGGCCGCATCACCAGAGGTGAGTGATCAAAGAGCAGGCAACTGTGCTCATGATAGAGGCAGCCCATGCTCCCCTCATTCAAAATGTCCACATGGAGCCTGAGCTGCCAGTTGGCCACATCTGAGCAGGGGGTCTAGATCCGGAGAGGAATTCTTGCACTCTGTGGTCATAGATGTTTCTGGGTTGGTTGTTGGGACAGCAACAGACTCCAAGCCACTTTCCAGTGCTGCGTACTGTTCATCAGCTTCCTCTCCCGCCTTCCCCAGCTCCCTTCCGCTTGCTGCTCAGTCATCTTTCCCAGACATATCATTGCCGGGCCACTGTCCAGCCTTGCCTCACAGCACCTGGAAGTTTTTTTTTTTTTTTCTTCTAGTTAGGTTTCTTTTTTCTCTTCTTTTCCTTTTATTGAAAAGGATTTTTTTTCACATTGTATGCTGAACATGGTTCCTTTACTCCACCCATTTCCTCCCCACCTCCCTTCCCATCCAGATCTGCTCCCTTTCTCTCTGTCTTTAGAGAAAATGGGCTTCTATGGGATAATAACATAATAGAATAAAAAATAAGATAAAACACATTAGGATTGGGCAATTTTTATGGTGCCTAAAAATATGTATCAAAGTTACTCATTTTGGTCAGGCTTACCTGACCGACAAGGCTGTCAGGATGAGAGCTCTATGTATTAACTGCTGTGCACCCTACACCTAGCATAGCCTTTCCCAGTCCTTCATAACAGAGTCTCCATATGTATAGTCATTGACGTGGAGCCATGCCCAGGGGCCAAGATCTGTATTCCTCAACAAAGTTGAAGCAAGAGGGTCACAGGTTCAAAGCCTGCCTGGGCTACAAATGGCCACAAAGCTAGTCTATGAGATTTAGTAAGAACTTGCTTCAAAATGAAAAGGGAGCCGGGCACATTGTAGAGTCCTTGCTGAACGTGAGTGAAGTTCTAAGTTCAACTACCCCACCACACACACACACACACACACACACACACAAAATAAATAAATAAATAAATAAATAAATAAATACATACATACATACATACATACATACATACATACATACATACATAGGAAGATTGTTGACATGACCTCATTTGAACTCCTTGACCCTTATCTCCCAAGAAATGTCTTAGTGTGCTAGTGAAGTTTCCTATGTACATTGAAGCTTTCAGGGGGTGACTTTTCAACTTTGAAGCTGTACAGCCTATCAAATAATTTTATATCACAAGTGATATGAGGAAAATAAATACCGTAATAGACTTGTGTGCTTTCCAAAATACTGAGGAGGAGTATGTTAAGCTTTGGTGTTCCATGCCACAGTCTAAGCACTTCTGGGACACTGGATGGGTCTCTCGTTAGGTGCAGCAGAGGACCGCTGGAGCCGGTACACTCTGGTACTTCCAGAATCCTGCTTTAGGTATTTTCAAGAACAGCGCCTGATGTTATATTATAACAGTTCTGAGTGCCGATTTGACAAGACTAACATACTCTTCTCTCCACTTGTCTAGAATGTTTCAGTCATTTAGAAAATGGTTCTGGTCAGAGGAATTCTGGCTTCCTCCAACAATGAAATGGTCACAGCTGGAAGATCATGACGGGCTCGTGTTTGTTAAAGCTTCCCATTTGTACATGACTATTCCATATGCCCTTCTCATGATGGTCATCAGGTACTTCTTTGAAAAGTAAGTGGGACTTATGTGACTCCCTCTCCACTCCCTTTCTTTGCTAACTCTACCACGGGACAGTCCAACATCTAGTCCTTAATGCGTCACTTGTTCTAGGCTGCACATTTCGGGGTGGGATCTGTGCGGTAAGGTGCACATGGACCCTTGTTTGCAGGCTGGAGACGAAGAATGGAGGTGTGAAGGCCATGGGGTGCTTACTTTTACAGTAAAAATTAAGCAAGATGGAGACAGGGTGGGTGAAGACAGATGGCCACGATATATGCATATGTGGAAATATCACAGTGCAATGCATTGACTTGTATAGTTTGAACTACTTATACCAAATTCCCAGAAGGACAGTGCTAGAAAAACCTGTTTCTTGAAGATGAGCTGTCATTCTAGGATGCCTGGAAAACACCAGAAATGTATCATTAAGGAGCAAACGAAATACCTCTGTTTAGCTTAGCTGTAAGGAAATCAGAAAACAATGCTAATTTGCTTTCTCATGAATTAGTGAACTTTTTCTTGATTTAATTTATATAGATATTTCTATATATAAATATTTCTACATACTATATTCTACATTCTATATACCATATTTCTATTCAATCTTGTACTAAAGCTGTACTGGTGTTCTGACAACAGGAAGCAAATGTTCATGTGTAGTTTTTGTAGTGGCTTCTGCTATGAGCACATTAGTTCATTTGGAAAAGCATATGTGAATGGCAAGAGCTGGAGAAACTTAAGACAGCCCTCATAAAGATCAAGTAGTCCAAGATCAAATGTAGCATAGATCATTTGTTTATAACTGTCTACAGAGTCCTCATCTGGAGCATCTGTTTGACCAGCTAAATATATTTATGAACTTGCCAAAAGGGTTTTGTACAAACAGCAGCTTCACTTGGGTCAAAATTCACTGTTGCTTTCAGGAATAAAAGACACCTGCCCCTTAACTGTGGCTGCGTGCACTTGAGTCCTTCCATTAAAAATGTGTATTATTATTTACGTGTGCATATTTATGACACATGCACCTGCGGGGGCCAGAAGAAGGCTTTGGATTTTCTGGAGGTAGAATTATAGGTACTCGTGACTTGGGCTAGGTAGGTGCGGGGAACTGAATTAGGGTTCTGGGAAAGAGCTGCAAGCACTCCTAACCACTTAGCCATCTCTCTAGCTCCTGTCCTTCCCTTTTAATAGTTAGTTATACTTTTCATATACATAGCTTGATTTTATGCATAAAGAAAATAAATTTTGCCCCTGCACACCCAAATTGGGTATTGATGAGTGTTGAACTTGGCAGCTAGGCCCTTTATTTATCACCACTGCAGATTCTCTGTTTTCCAGTGGGCAGGGGAGTGAAACAGAATCTTATTTTGTTTGCCAGAGCATTGCAGCTGTGGAGGACCAAATCTCTGTGTCTAGACCAAATCTCTGTGTCTAGGTCCCACCTGCCCAACAGCAGTGAGGAAGGGATCCCCTCCTTCAATTCCTATGGTCAGTCTCACCTCCCCAAGGGATTAGGTGTAGACATTGTCTCCTAACCTCCTTATCACATTAATTCCCAGCAACTCATCCTTAGTTCCTTTTCTCTCCATTCTGTGATGCTACAGAAACATTTCTTTTAGTGCACTAGAATATTCAACATTGGAGAGAGATCATACTTCATAAATTAAGATAGAAGTTCCTATTTTCCTAGGGATTTTACATTATTTGTTATAAATTAAACCACTTTTACCCTAAATAAAATATTTTCCATTCCTTGCATTTCATGCGCACTTACAGTTGAGATGGTACTAAAACCTTAAGTGGTCATCAGGGGAGGAAACAGGAGGTCCTCAAGTACTCAACAGTACTCAAACAAATGTGCCACAGTGACATCAAGCTCAAGGGTGTTGGCTTGAGGGAGGTGTTTTTCATTTTCTCTGTTTATACGAATATTTTTTGACTCACAGTACAATGGCTCTGATAGTGGAAGAGAATAACAAATATCTCCTGGGAATCAGAAGATAGTTTAGAAAGGTTACTGTAAATGTGACCCCTCTGGATTGCATTCACAGTTCTTATACATTGATACTGTCAGACTATTTATTTACTTATGTTAAGACTAGTAGTTTCTGGTTGGTTTATCTTCTATCAGTTCTTTAATGTGTTTGAGATTTGGTTTCAAAGAGAGATACTCAAAGTTCAATTTATGAGAAATGGACAGTCTCACAGACCATAGAGTGTAGCCCTAGAGGTCAATGGCAGAGGTGGAAGATGTAAAGCCAGCTCACTTGTTTCCCTTAACTGTACCCAGAGGTGATTCCCCAGTTCCCCCCTCTCCCACAGCAGGATTTCATAGCATCCTGAGAAATTCATCTACAGCATTTTTCAGGAGTTGAGAAAAGATTATCCAGTTAACTCACTAGAGTGGATGGAAATGCCTTCCCATGAACTGCATCCTGGAGCTGAGAGTTTGAGGATGCTGTCCTTCCTTTATTCACGTGACTCCAGAAAACATATGCCCTATGTGCCTGCATTGTTGGCTGCATAGGTGATGCAACACGGAGGCCAAATTCCCTTCCCTCCCGGAAAACAATCAAAGGGTGTTCAAGGCCTGCCCGCTTCATGTGGGGCAGTCACTTTCTTTTTCTGTTTCTTAATGTCGTGGGCTTTCTCCAGTGGAGCTTGGTCTGTCTGGAAGTTGGAATACTTTTCATCACATTATTTTATGAAAATTTTACTTAACCTCCACATTTGAAAAAAGAAAGGACTGATATCTGATCATTCTTAACCAAGCTTCCAGATTTTAATTGAATGTGAAACTCTCCTAAGCACTAGAATAGACAAAGCCTGGCTATAACTGGAAGGTACAGTCTTTGCCGGAACTAGGGGAAGAATATAGGTATGTACTTATTGATTTCTTCCCCCTCCTGTTGTGGTTGTTTTTATTTATTTGTTGGGTGTTTTTGAGACCGGGTCTCATGTAGCACAGGCTGGCCTTGAGCTACATGTAGCTGAGAACATCCTCAAACTTATGATCCACCTGGTTCTGTCTCCCAGGAGCTGATATTAGAGGCATGCTAGGCAGGTGCTCTACTGACCGAGCTACACTCAACTCATTAACTTCGTATGTGTGAGTATGCATGCTTGTATGTGTGTGGACACATGTGCAAATGTGCGCACTCAGCCTGAGGTTGATGCACTCTCCCACAATTGATTTTTGCACTATTAGTTGAGGCAGGCCTCTCAGTGGAACCCAGAGTTTGACCATACAGCTAGTCCATCTCTCTAGCTTGCCTGTGAGCATGTCTTGGTGGGGGTAAGGGGCTGTTGATAGTTAATTGGTGTTGGAGGTTGCAGCCCACTGTGGTCAGATCTATAGATCTATAAAATTATAGATTGTAACATTTTGGGTAACTTTTTTATTTAACAAATTTTGAGATTTTTTTTCAGGTAGCATACATATGTATCAACATTTCCCTGTTATTGTTGACTAACCTTTCCACCTATTTACACATCATACAAACATATTTGAACTAGTTGATGGAAATCTGTGCTGTTAACATAGTCTATTGTCACTGAAAACACTGTGAACATCTGAGTGTGGGAACATGGCTGGACATGTGTTTTTGTTTCTCTTGGGAAAGAGAAAAAATGTTTGCTTTGGAATAGCGTTGTGTGTGCCTATACCATGGCCTGTCACTCAGCAAGAGAAGGGAAGAGACTGTCTGTCACCACATGCTATGACATAAATGAGCTTGAGCACTGTGCTCAGCGAAAGAAGCTGAATGTGAGTAATTATAGATTATCCAATTCGACTCAACTTATGAAGTATCCAGAAAAGGTTAAGATATAAAGGTGGAAAATAGATTAAAAATTGCTTGGGGAAGTTTGAAGAGAAATGGAAAGTCACTGAGTTATATATTTGAAAATATTGAACTATTTTATATATAGAAAAATCCATAATAATTATTTTAAAGACAAAAATCAAATTAATGGATAAATAGCAGACTGGGAGAAAATGTGTGTAAACTATGTATCTTATGAAGAATTTAAATTTAGAATATCAGACAAACTGTGTAACCTAATAGTAAGTAAATAAGTGGGTTTTTTTTTTTAATGGGCAAAAGAGGAGTTGACTCAAAGAAAGTATACACACAAAAAGTAAACCCATGAAAAACTAATCAATATCATCGATCATCGAGCTGATACACATTAAAAGCCGCAGTGGAGAAGGCTAGGGAGACAGGTTCGTGAGCACAGCAGTTCTGCTCCAGCATGAGGTCCTGAGTTCAGTCCTCACAGTGTCACACATAGTGGTAGGGTGGCACGCGCCCGGAATCCCAGAGCTGGGGAGGCAGACTGGCAGATCACTGGGCCCGCAGGCCAGCCGGCCTAGCGGAATCCCTGAAGCCCAGGCCAATGGGAGAACCTGTCGTAAGAAACAAGGTGGATGGCTCCGAGGAGCCACACCTGAGTGCTTCCTCTCACCTCCATTGTCATGTACTTGCACAATCAGACACACCTGTACACCTACATGAACAAAGTTGGCACACATGTGCACACGCTCCCCACCCCCACCCAGTACACACAGAGGCTAGTGAAAATGTCATACGCTAAGGTCCTTATCCCTGAAATGTTTTTCGGCATAAAAGCAGCTAAAGACTAGCAGAAACATTCAGTCAACATTTACAACTTGACAAAGCTTCATAATGATGCAGGGAGTGTTGTCTAGGAAAAAGTTGAATCCTGGCCTGAACTGAGATTTGTGGCATTTCAGCTGCCCTTTCTGTCTCTGTGGTACCCTGACAGCCAAGAGCTCAAGGTTTCCTGCTTTCATTCCAGCGCTTGGGAGGCAGAGGTAGGTGGAGCTCCGTAAGTGTAAGGCCAGCCTGCTTTACGTAGCTAGTTCCTGACCAGCCACGGTTACATGGCGAGACTCAGAAACAAAACAATTAAAAGACAAAGACCAGAGCTCACAGGAACAGTGCTCCCTTGCTGTGTCTGTATTACACCTCCACACCATTTACCCAGGGTTTTGTAGCTTTTTTTTAAAGGGTATTTTTCTGGAATTATGGTTATTTGAAAGAATTAAAGGTGACTGAGTACCTGAGAAAATGATGATAACTGATTCCACAATTAGCCTAAGTCAAAACCTTAAAGTGATAAAGCTGAGAAGTTAGGAGGGGTGGGGCCATGAAAAGTTCTGACATGTTCTTGGAAATCTTGAAGGCCAATTTGCTGTTTAACAGTTTGCGCAGGTCTAGGCAAGGCTGCAGAAGTCCCTCAGCTCTCACCTGTGGCAGTGGCTTTGCTGCACTCTGTAAACAGGAAGCAGAACGCTGAGGCAGACTCGTGCTGTCTGGCTGTGAGTGGGTGCTGGATCCCACCACACGCAGAGCAGCCGGCCCCTCTGTCGGCTCTGGTGTTGAAGGAAGCCTTTGTCCTGTTATCAGCTGGATAGCAACCTGACAGTGGCTAAACAGATCAGGTTTTCAAAGTGGCTAAACTCGCAGATGGGCAAACAGGACAAAACTGAGGGCTAGAGTCACCACCAATATGCAGCAATACCTGAGTAGAAGTGTCAAAACTGGGAAACTGTGGTTCATACACAGACGACAGTGTCTCTGGGAAAGTCCAGATAGTGAATGTACCAGACAAACAATTTAGAATTTGCTGCCTAAAAACATTTTCAGAGCATTAGAAACAATGATGCTCAGGAACTAAGTGAAAGCAGGAAAGCAATGTCTCACCAAATCACAATAGCAATAAACTAATGGGAATCATAAATCAAGACAGAGGACCAAATACAAGTCATAAAATTTAAAAAGGAATGACTGAAGTGAAAAATGAGATTGCAAAGGGTTTTGATAAGTTATACCACTATGGGTATTAGAAATCCATCAACTTAGTGTGTTTTCATTTGTTAAACTTTCTTATTTATTCTAGTACTTTGGTGTTTTGCCTGAATGTGTGTCTGTGTGAGGGTGTCGGATCCCCTGGATCTGGAGTTACAGACAGTTATGAGCTGCCATGTGGGTGCTGGGAATTGAACCTTCTGGAAGAGCAGCCAGTGCTCTTCTGAGGAATCTCTCCAGCCCCTCATTTGTAAAACTTTTTTGTACTCTTTGTTTACTTGCATAAAATAATAATAACAAATCTGTGTTAATTAGAACATAATGTATGAATACAGATTTATATGATAAATAAAAGGAGAAAGAATGGAGTTTCTTTTTATCCCATTTAGGGTAAGATGCTGAGTTGGGCATGGTGGCCCATACCTGTAATCCCAGCACTCAGGGAGGCTGAGGCAGGCAGATCTCTGTGAGTTCAAGGCCAGCCTGCTCTACAAAGCAAGTCCAGGACAGCCAAGGCTATACAGAGAAACCCTGTCTCAAAAAAGAAAAAAAAAGTAATTTGCTATTAATTTGAACCATGATGTTATAAATTAAAATTATATTCTAATTCCAGAATAACCACTGAGAAAAAGTAGGGAGAAGGTTAGAAAGAAAATAGGTTTAAGCACTATAAACCATCAGACTGAGCAAGCATCTTGAGGATACTCTATCCAACAGCAGCAAGTCTGTGCTCTTGTCTTGTGCACAGAGGGCACTTCCCATGACATGCCATGTGCCAGACCAGACCCAACAAGTCTCAGGGAATGTAAGGGAGTGGCAACTGCACACATGAGATGAAGCTAGAAACCAGGAAATTTGCAAATAAATGAAAATTACATCAACACACTTCTTCATGACCAGTCAAAGAAGGAATCACAAGGTAAGCTAGAAATATCTTTAACTGAATGAAAAGGAGCGCGTACTAGACTAGAACCTTCTGGAATGTGGAAGAAGCAGGCCTGGGAGTTCTCAGCTTCAGAGAGCTCAGATCGATGCACTTTTCCCTTAAGAAACTACACAGATGAGATGAAGCTCAGTTAGAGCAGAGGTTAGGGACAGGGACAATTCTGGTAGGAGATGAATACGGCGACACAGATCTGGTATGGTTTCAGCTGCTGACCAAAACCAGGCACCTGGTGGGATCTGGGGTAACTGGAAACCTGGCACATTACTAACAGGAATGTAAAAATGCTACAGCTACTTTGGAAAGCAATTTTTCAGCTTTTTATAAAGCGTTGGACACTTAATTTAACCCTTGGCAGTCTTAAAGTGAATTCTTAATATAATAGTTCATCCTAATTCCTAAATCTTGCACATAAATGTATTTGAATTCACAATGAAATGAATTTTAAACTGTGCATTGTGTCATGTATTCTTAAAATATTGCTTGTGTGTAGGTCTGAAATTTTGCTCTCTTTGGTCTTATATCTTGGGTGTTCTGTTATTGTCATTTTGTTTGCCTGTCTTTTGAGACTCTGTAGATAAGCCATACTGGAACTCACTATGTAGCCCAGGGTGGCCTCAAATTGACTGTAATCTTTCTCCTTCACTCTCCCTAGTGCTATGTTACAGTCATTAGCCACCATGCCGAGCTTGCTTCTTGGAACCTTTGGTGGGCAGAGACTGGTTGTAGGTAGCTCATTGACAACGTCTATTAACCATATTTCCGTTGCTGTGACAAATTATCACACAGCAATTAGTTTATAAAGCAGCTGCAGGTTCCGTTCTGTGGTTGAATGGCCTTAGTGCTTTGGCTGTGGTGAGGAGTCATAGCACAGCAGGCGCATGTGGTGGAGCAGATCGACTGCTCATCTTCGAGGAAGAAAGCAATGGAGAGAAGAGGCTGAGGTCCTATGATCCCCTCAGAAGACATCTTCTAATGACTTCAGGGCTTCCCACTAGTCCCGGCTTCTGATGCTTTATCACAAGTCCTAAGAGCACAAACCCTGTGGACTAAACCTTTCAATGTAGACCATTGGGCACATTCAGCATCCAAACTAGAGCAAGCATACAAGTGCCTGAGCTTTCCCTGGACACACAAAGGTATAGCCTGGGTTTTCTGGTATGGTTGTGGACTTCTTACTTCTCAAACCTTCTTCTCATATTTTGTAGGTTTGTTGCCTTACCTGTAGCAAATGCACTTGGCATTCAAAAGACACAGCATAAAATTAAACCAAATGCCATCTTAGAGAATTTTTTCAAGCATTCCACAAGTCAACCATCACATGTAAGTAAAAATTCTTTGCCTGTAGCCTGAAGGATCTTCTTTCTTAATGGTTTAGTCATCTTGACTTGCTTTGTTCATACAGAAAAGAGCTTCCACTTGACTGTCAAAGGATTTGATTCATTTGGTATATTTCTTGGTTCTGTTGACAGACTCTGCAGCACCTCAAATGTGATGAAGCATAGATATGTATTAGAAAGTCACTGGCACTAGTAGTTAAAGCATTGCTTTCAGCTGCAGCGTCAGCCATTTACAATCACTTTCATAATTATATATAAAGATAACAATTGAACCTCGGGGCTGTGGATTACTAAAGCCTGTAGTCCAAGACCTGCAGAAGCTGAGGCAGAAGCACCACCACGAATTTGGCCCTTGCAAGAGCTATGTAGTGACTCCAGGAAAAGCCTGAGGTACACAGCAAGACCCTGCCTTAAAAATGTGAATAAATCATAACACCACAATTTCATTTTAATGGCACTTTTTAAACATTTGAACAAAGAAAGCCACACCTGATACTTTTGATGATTGTGGCCCTGTCAGACTACACCATGAAGTGCCCAGGAAGTTATTGTCCGTGTTTTATCCAGGCTTCAACATACCCAGAAACATTTAGAATCCCTGATTTGTCTCCAGAAATAGAACTTCCAAGAGCATCACGATTCCTTCACAAGAGTCCTTGGGTGGTGCAGTGCACTGAATGTTTATAATCAAAAGCCATTCTTTAATAGTTATAAAGCCATGTCCAGGCCCCTCAGCTTTATTATACGGCATAGTTAAAGTATAGGCAATACAGACCTTCTCCCAAAATGGCACTCCTCTAGAGTAAAGAAAGCTACCACCCATCTTTTTAAAAATCAAGACAATGTGCTACCAACATTTTAGAGAAGAGCTGAGCTTTGGAGCAATTTGAACTGCATTTAATGGATCGGGTTGGGCTTCTCAGCCGGGATGCCATTGCTCCAGTGGGGGCCTTGCACAGGAAGGTGTGCGGGGCTTGACACAGCAGAAGGCCTAGAGTGTAGTATGGCTCCTCACTGCAGAGCTGTCTGTACCTCTTTCTGTCCTCAGCCGCTGCATGTGACTGCTTTTATCAAAGAAGGACTGTCTGACAATCTGCAGCCACCTGATTTCTGTTCCAGGCACTACTCTTAAGTGACCATGGTCACCTATCTAAATAAATACATTGGTTTCCACTGGTGATATGTGAAGAATTAGGAGTCTTGTGAGGAGTCCTTCTAATCCTGTTTCTGCTGAGGAATAACTATCGCCCATAATCCCTTCTATGAAACGTGTAGCCTTTGTCAGCTGTATTTGCTGAGACCAAGAGCAGCAAGTCATTGGAAAGGATATGGGGGGGGGGGTGATGCAGGTAGGTGCTCGTGTGCTGTGCTGTGCACGTGAAAGTCAGAGGACAACTTTTGGGAGACAGTGCCCCCTTCCCACCCTGGGCTGCAGGGATTGAATTCAGGCCATCACACCTTTCTCAATTATTTTAAATATCTTAATCTCCAGAGGTGTCAAGACAACCAGGTGAGTAATTGAGAAAGGCAAACACCAGTGACTACTCTTTGAGGTTGATAACACCAATTTTGTGTCTGTCACATACCAAGTTCTACGGGTTATTGTAAAAGTTGCATTTTCAACATAGAGTCCCCAGAGAATAACACTTCCTGCTTAGTTGTGCTTGTTTTCGTTTCCACAACAACTTGAGCTCTTCTCTGTGCATGTTAGGTGCTCAGTAAGTACTTGCTTTGTGTGTTAAGAGAATGGGTCTTGATGCTTTTGTGTGCAAGGCTCCCTCTCAAAAAGATACGAGTATGATGCCAGTATTGTTAAGACAGACTTCTGGTCGGTACATCTGTATTCCAAAATGAGAAAGAAAATGCTTTCCTGCCACACAAGAATGCTATCTCTAGTGGCATGTACTAAACAACGGTTTGTAGAAATGATACAATCATAACAAAATTGGATTGGGCTAAGATCTGGGAAAATTCCAAAAAGAAAGCACGACCGCATTTGCTTTGCTCAGTGCTGAATCTTTAACACCTAAAGTTGTGCCTGGTCTACTACTAAGGAGGGACTTTTGAATGCTTTTGAGTGAGGAGATGAGTAAAATATTTAAAAGTGAGATCCATGGTGATTTCACTGTCAGAACACTGAATACAGTGCACTGGCCACTCAGAATAGGCTGTGACAGAAGATGGGCCAAGCAAGCAAAGGAGAATTACATCTTGTTTGGGGGAATCAATGGGAGGTCCACTGTGCACCATGAGGAAGGGGAGAGAAAACGCCCCTGGGCCCCTGAAACAACAAAATCTATTATTATTCCCACCACATAAGCCGAGTCGCTGATCAATCAAGACCACCAGATGAGGACTTGGGGGCATTCTTTCTTCTGGCAACCCCAGCAAGGGCTGAAGCAGGATTTATAAGCACAAAAACTGCAAGCATCTGCGTCAAGTTACAGTCATAATTTTCACCAATCAAAACTCAGAAATTAGGGATTTTCCCAAGTGTTCCATCATTGTCAACTGACACTGAATGTGTCCTTACCCCACCAATCAAATTCATTTGTTCTTTCTGCTGTTAGGAGCAGGCATTATGTTTTGGGTAACTATTATTGCTTAGAGGTAACAGGTATGTTTTGGGAACTCTTGTTCCTTGGAGAGGGAGTTGGTCCGCTTAGGTAAAATGGAGTCTGAAGTCGAAAGGGCAGTACTCAAGACACGTTCCTTTTACCTGCTCCCAACACCAGCCCTCAGACCTGTAAAAGGGTGTTAAAGGGGAAACAGTGACATTGGCACATTCTGTTCTCTGTTCTCCCTTTCCTTCTCTTCAGGTTAGTGAAGCTCCAGTCACTCAGTATACATACAGAACCATAGTCACTCTTCTTCCACTGCCCTGCAGCATGGCTTCTAGTGTGCTGGAGCCTGGCCCCTGGCCAGCTATGATCCGTACCAGATGACCTAGCAGAAGCCATCTGGCTGGTCAGAGCCTGCTGGGTGACCAGCCTTCTGGCTCACAGGCTGGCTTCATTTAGGCCCCGGAGTGCTCATTTGCATTAGCTTAAATTCACTGTAAGGCTCTGATGTTTTATAATTCAAAAAGTGGTTTCACATCAAAACCCCAGGAGTGTATTTTGTCTCTGGAAATGTTAGGGCTTGGTCTCAGCTGGCTCTCTGGGATGGGATCTGCTGTGCCATGCTCTCTCTGTTCATCAGCTGCAGCTTGTGTCTTGGGCAGGAAGCTGATAGTTAGCTTTAGACATTTTGGGTTTTTGTTTTATTTTTATAACAGAATTCAGAGGAAGTTTTCTTATATTAGAAAATGATCACAAGATCAATGTCATTTCAAAATATGTTGTAGAGCATGTTTCTTGTGGAAATGGGGAGTGTTAGTTACCATAGGTCTAATGGACAGAACATGCCTGTTAAAATCCCACTGTCAAATGAGCCTGGCCCTCTTGTCCATTTGTGTTTCTTTTCTGGCTCTAGCAGACTTTGGAATTTGTAACCTTTGGGCAGTAATCCATCATCTTGGTTATTTCCTATTTTAAAACATAGCCTGTAAAACTTCTGCTTCCCAGAGGAGAAGTAATCATCATTATTATACTTTATAATCATTATTTTAATGGCTGGAAATAGTTTGGATTATTTTGAAATAGGCTGTGTACAAGATTGATTGTGAAAGCAGAGAGGCAACACCTGCTGGGGGTTTTCTTCAATTACCTTTTGCGCCTACCAGAAAGACTGCCAGGAGAAAGCCCACCAGCCCATGTCTTCTCAGTACATGACTACTGTCTTGCCCAAGTCCTAGCAACTCTTAGGCAGCTTCTGTGTCTCTGTAGGAAATGCTAGAAAGTCGTATTTGATTGACATCTTAAACTCTGCTACTCTGGCACCTAAATAAATGTTAGTGAGCTCACACAATACAGCTCAAACGTGTAGGTTGCAAATAAAACGTGTTGGCCTTTCTCAGCAACCACCAAGCTCGGATTCTCACATTCTCTGTTTTCTATTTGTTTGGCTTTGGCTTGGGGTCTGTGTGTGTGAGTGTGATTTCACAAGCAATAAAAATGAATTGCCTGGCTCACGCTCTTGTGCCTTTTAGTCTCATTTTTTTTTCCTGCACGGTGTGACATCTGATCCTGATCTTTACCTTAGTTTTTATGACATCAGGGTGTGCGTGTGTGCGTGTGTGTGTGTGTGTGTGTGTGTGTGTGTGTGCACATTCATGTGTGAGTGCTTGGGAGTGTGTGTGTGCATGTGAGCACACATGAGGGTGTCCATATGCCAGGGTGTGCCTGTGGGGCTCTCCTCCTTCCACCAGGTCCTGCCTTTACCTGCTGAAATGCCCTGCTGTCTCTCTGCTGCTTATTGTTTGTTCATTCATTTCATTTTTTTTTCAGACTGAGGTTTATGGACTGGCAAAGAAGTGTAACTTGACAGAGCGCCAGGTTCAGAGATGGTTTAGGATTCGGCGGAATCTAAACAAGCCTTGCAGGTTGAAGAAATTCCAGGAATCTTGGTAAGAAGAGTGGTCAGCTCGTGTAGTTTGAAGCAGAGTGCGGTCATGGCAGAGAACACACTGACACTGGAGGGAGGAGGGGTCCCAGTGCATTCTCCACTTTCCGTCAGGTCTCTCCTGCTTGGTGTCTTCTTCTTCCTTTCAACAAAGCAAGTTTGGTGTATGTGAATGCTTTTGTTACCTTCATCTGCAAAGGTAACACACAAGCACAAAGTGCAGTCTAACAAACGGACGCTTCACAGTGGAATCAGTGCAAAATGTACAGTGAGCGGCTGCTGAGAAAGCCCAGGGCCTGGCTTCAGTTTTAAACAGCGTGCAAACAGCCCGCACTGTTAATTAATGTAAGGAAAGCATTTCTAATTCGGAAAGCTTTTTTAAATACAGGAAAAGATGTTCTTAACCGTCCTTGCTTTCCTTTTAGGGAGACAGCACACTACACTAAAGTGGATCCAGTGCCTATGCAGACACTGTGTACCTAGCCCGAAGCCCAGGAAAGCCATAAACATGTCCTAACTGGTGTGCCTCCTTTCTAGAGAGGAGAGAATGTCTCAAGACTTTCACGTCTGCTGTGGAGCAGGGGATGTGAGAGTGCTCCGCCCTGCCCTCAGACTATCACACACATATACAGAGGGTCTGGATCAGCTCTTCCATCCTGTCCCTCCCCCACGACCCTTCCACACCACTCCCTCCCACCCTCCTGTCCTCGTCTTTATTGTGATGAGCCAGCTCTGTGCAGTAAGCTCTGCTCCCACGTGCTTGGGTGCACCAGAGCTCAGGGACCCTACCTACCAGTGGCCACAGCTCTGATAAATGGCTCTTCTCCTGAACCTGTCACCTGCAAATAATTCTTCCGCTAGGGTGGAGCCTCACACGTGCCCCCCTTCCCCCAGTCCAGCCTGGAATGCTGACCAGCTTGATCTTGCACAAGCCTTGTGCTGCTGTAGGAGTGAATGTGCACCTTGTCATAGAAATAGGGCAGTATTTCAAGCACTTCTCGCTGTCCTCTGGCTCTTACCTTCTTTCAGCCCCCTCCCCTACAGTGCTCACTGAGCCTGTGGCAGGGCTTGATACAGATGTCCATTCAGGGCTGCAAACACCCAGGAATCCCTTACTGACCGCTATTAGCTGCTGGCTGCTGCAAAATGAAAGTGTTCCTGCCAGTCTTGAGAGCAGCACCAAACAATGGCTCTAATCATAAATATTCGGGAGCTATTTCATAACATGCCCAGAGAGCAAAGCAGCAGTAGTAGGTTTCTCCTCAGGGCCTACACCCCTCTCTTAGCCATAGGTTCTTGATTAGATTTATAGGGCCAGCAGTGAATTCCCTCCACAAATCAGGCCTCAATTGGCTGCCCCCGACTTATGGGAGGGAATTCTTTTTTTTTTTTTCTTTTCATTTTTTTTTTACATCTGTCTATTTAGCTTTTTACCCATTTTTTTTTTGATTGAATGATTTGTTCTATTTTGTTCTTTTTTTTCTAGGTTGGGTTTATTGTTTTTTTTTTCTTTTTAAGTTTAATTTTGTTTATATATTTATTTATTACAATTATTCACTTTGTATCCCTGCTGCAGCCTCCTCCCTCTCTTCCTCCCAGTTCCTCCTATCCTTCCTTTTCTCCCCCTATGCCCTTTCCATAGTCCCTTGATAGAGGAGGCCCTCCTCCCCTTCTAGCTAACCCTAGCTTATTGCTTTTTTTATTTTTATAGTTCTTTGTGTCTTCTGTATAGTCGCCCTCTGTCTGGTGTGTACTTGGCGTGTCCTAAGCTGTCTCTCCCCTATGTTAATTGTGGTTTTGTTGTTGTTGCTGTATTGTTTTTTGGGTTTTGTTTTGTTTTTGCTGTGCAGAAACTCTTTAATTTCACATCATCCCATTTATTAATTCTCATTTTATTAATGGCCTGAGCCACTAGAGTTCACACAAGAAAGTCCTTGCCTGTGTTTACATCTTGAAGTTATTTACATACATTTTCCTCTAAAACTCTTAAAGTTTTGGGTCTTAGATTATTATCCTCGATAATTTTGAGTTGATTTTTTTCTACAGTGTAAGAAATATAAATCATTACGCCCAAATATGGATATCCTGTTCCCCAGTACTATTTATTACAGCACCTTTTTGACATTTTCACCAAAAAAGTAGTTGTTTATATATGTCATATTGTCATGTTCCACTGGTCTCTATGTCTTTGTGAGCAAGCATTATTGTGCTTTCGGTGCTGTGGAGTAGAATCAGAGATCAGGCACTGTAAGGTGTCCAGCATTTTGCTCTTTCCTCTGCTGGGCTTTGTGCTTCCATAAGGGTTTTTGGACAAAATGACAGCTAGGATATGAGCTTGTACTTCTTTGATCCATGTTCTTCAAAGCCTGTTGTGCCAGATTCCCTTTCCCCTCACCACAGTTGCAGTTACAGAGAACTGAAGCTTTTTCTTTGTTTTGGCAGCTGGCGGTTTACATTTTACTTGTTGATAACTGTGGCTGGAGTCGTGTTTCTTTATGATGTAAGTTGTCATTTTCACATCATTGGAATTTGTCTTTAATTTAAAATATTTTTGCCTATGATTTCTATCATTGCAAAGCTGTGACCTCAAAAGGATAAGACACAGTTTATTCTGGAGCCAAATAAAAGTGAACATGACCCAGGAACACAGATCCAGGTGACCTCAAAATCCATGTTCCAAGGTGATGATGGTTTCCTGAAGTTTTATAGTAACAGAACAAAGCAAATCATAAATGGAGATAATTTTCAAATACATTGGTGGAAACAAGTGGGTTATAGCAAGGCAGGAGATAATCAGCTACAAGCCTAGATGCCATAAGGCAACACTGTGAACCTTTGGTTGGTAGAATCTGGAGGTCTGTTTGTATATTCCAAAGGATTTACCTAGTAGTCATAAAGATGCTAGGTCACAAATAGAGGTGGACAATAAATGGCCATTAGGAGGGGCTCACTATGCCCCAAGATAAATCAAAATTAGGCTCCGACCCACAACATTCTAACTCTCCCACAATCTTTGAAGTTCTGGTAAGTTAAGCAGCCATATAGATCATTCAAAATAAACTGCCTTTCCCCCTAGGAACTTCATTCACAGTTCTTTTAGGACAAAATATTCTGTAAGTTATCCAGTTTAAGAATAGTCTCTCCAGAGCTGGGGTGTTTCTCAGGCTGTCTGGTCTAGCATGAGCAGGCCCCAAAATAAGCCTCCTAATGTCTTATTGCTGTAATTGTCTCAGGGTATTTTTGCCTTTTCACTGCTGTATTTATTTATATGCTAATTTTTGTCTCTGTTTTGGAGACAGGTTGTCAGTCTGTATCTGAGGCTGGGCTGGGACTCACCATCTAGCCCACACCAGCCTCTACCCTGTAACCTTCCCACCTCAGCACGTAATACCTGGTTCACTTTGTTAGCATATTTGTTTGTTCCAAAGTTATGTCAGCAGTCCTATTGCTGACCCCAGGTTCACTATGAGAAGTGACCTTCACTGTGTTGTACAGGAGTGCGAGTCAACGCCCACAGAGGGAGAAATGCATTCAACAGAGAAAGTAGAGTCTACACAAGAGAGTCAGTGCCCCAGTGAACACACAAGAGTCAGTGCGACAGTGAAC